TAAACCTTTAACCCAGTGGTCCCCAACCACCGGACCGGTCCGTGGGCCGTTTGGTACCGGGCCGCACCTCAGAGAGAATATATATATATATATATATTTATTATTTTCTGATACAATGTTTTAGTTGGAAAGTGCACGCTCTATTCTCCTAATTAACTAACACATGATGTGTTCATGGCCCATAGGAAAGATTCCCATTGGATGCTTCTGGTGGTGACAAACAGTGTAGTGTCAGCGGCTTGTTTGATGAAAGCTTCAGCCCCCCCCCACATTCCGCGCTCTGCATCATCTCGGCTTAACCTCCTCCTGCCGGTCTCACCGTGACCCCTTCAGGGACGAGATGTGTAACCAAGACGGCAGAATAACGTGCTCGGGTGCTTTGATTCTTCTCCTTTGCAGTCCTGTTCAGGTTCCTGCAGCGACAGATGTAGCCTGCAGTGTGTAAGTGAGGGGCGTGTGCGTGTGCGCGTGTGCGTGTGCGTGTGTGTGTGTGTGTGTGATTCTAGCATCAGGTGATTGAACTGTGTATCCAGAGGTGTCCTCACACTTCAGCCGTGATCCCTCGTTGATCGGACCTCTAGAAACCCTCTTGGTTCTGATCCGATGTGACGCATTTCACGCGTAGAGTGAAAGCCGATAATCACCATCACATGACCGCTGTGACGTCAGCGATGGAGAGCCAATCAGGCGTGAGGATTCATCTGAACGCTTTTTACAAATAATAAAGAATTTTTAAGAATCAAACTAAATGCAAACCAACTAATTGCAGAGTCAAGAGTTCTGTTGATATTTGTATTAATATTTTTGTGTGCAAAATATAAATATAGTGGTACTACAATTGTTATGATGATTATCAACCTTTTCTACCTGAACTGAGGATGAATTTCATTCTGCTTCATTCATCAGTGGAGATGAAGTAAAGAACGTTTGATGGATTCTGTTTTCAAGGGTGATCATCTGCATGGCGTGAAATATGTGGGAGTGGCTTCATGAAAGAAAACCTTTATTCACACCCGTCTCTGTCTGTCTCTGTCTCTGTCTGTCTCTGTCTGTCTCTGTCTCTGTCTGTCTCTGTCTCAGCCCAGGGGAAGAGCAGGAGGCAGAGTGTGTTGTTTTAGTGCTGGCGGCGGTGCTGAGGTGAGGGAGGACATGGACTCGTCGAGACAAACATTCACTGACGCACACACACACACACACACACACACACACACACAGCACTGTGGAAACAAAACACCCCACAGAAGTTAGGATGAAGCATCCATACTTGACAGCGACCCAACAGACAGAAAAGGAGGACTAAGTGCGGAGAAGAAGGTGGAACAGCTGAGGATTCTCCTCGCTGCTACGACGCGCGTCTGTCCACCAGGAGGCGGCGCTGAGGACTTAGTGAACAGACCTTGCTGCATCAGTGAGCCGTGAAGAAGAAGAAGAAGAAGCCCGTACTTTTGAGCCTCCCTCGGACTGTTGTTGTATATAAAGAGACTGAGCTGTAGAAGCCTGCTTTTTCCGAATATTGCACCTGAACCCTGAACCTCTCGGCCCTTTGTGGATCTTTAAAACAACACAGGCACACAAACTCTCTTCAACACACACGTATAATTCACTTGAAAGTTACGAGTGTCCAGATCGACAGAGTATAGGAGGAAAAACTAGCACCTTATTGTTGTCCAGTAGAGGTCAGAGGTCGTTACCTCATCAATCACTCGAGCAGACAGGAAGTAGAGAACCTGCTAGATGAGTGAAGAAGAATCAAAACAACAAACCAAAAAACAACACCCATCTACCCATAACCCCGGACGGGAGGTTCTACAGAAAACCCTTCTGTATGTGTGATGACCCAGAACCCACGCCGGAGGTTCTATCCAGATCCTGTCCCTCTTTCTAAGGTTTCTAACAAGAACCCACGTGGGGGGGTTCTACTCGTACCCTTTATATTCCCACGGTCTCCTTGATAGTCGACCATCTACAGAGGATTCTTTAACGTTTATAAGGTTCTACAAAGAACCTTTAATATTCCAAGGTTTCCATCCACAACCCATCCAGGTTTTCTTTATCTCGGGGACACTTTATGTTCCAATGTTTTAACTACAACCCCAAAACAATCCTGGTTCTCAATCCATTTTTTGGGAGTTCCCTAACACCCCTTTAAAGAGTCCTCGAAGAACTCTTTCTTCCCGACGGTGTCTTTAACGGAACCCTCACATTAAGAGGCAGCTGTGTTCATCGATAATGTGACTCAGAGAGGGTCATAGTTTCACCATATATTCACCATTTCATTTCAGCAGTGCAGAATCCTTGTGAGTGTTTTCGTTGCCGGGGTCACGCACAGGTCACGTCTGCTCGGAGGCACCGTGCGAGCCTCTCTCGCGTTTGGAACCCTGTTATCTTCACCGATAACATAAGACGCCACACTTCGGTTCCATTACAACGATTGCACACAAGTGGTCGACCATTCGTCTCGTGAAGGGATGAACCCTCAGTTGTCCTTGGACTCGGTTCCTCTTTGGCCTTTAGGTGTCAATGTTGACCCCCCCGACTCCACTTGCCTTTATTTTTAACTTTTCCGTATATACGTGCGTTCACTTTCCTTGAAGCAATGATAATTCCAGGATGCTGTTCTCGGTCTTTACTGTGTTCCCATGGGGGCGACCGGGCGTGTTGCACTTTCCTTGAGCTCAGGACTTAATGCTGGTGTTGTTTTGTGGTTTGCCGTGAGGTTCCTGCTGGTCTTCGTCCCGTCTCCCCAGCAGAGCGGAGGGCCTCCAACCCTTTTTGCAAAGCTGATTTAAAAAGAAAAAAATGTGTTCATTCTCAGCATCAACCTGTCATACTTTGTTTTTCACGTCGTTCACTTCGTTCATTCGGCCCCGATATCGCTGTTCAACCATGACCATTGTCTTTACGTGTGTTCTTCGCTCAGCATGTTTGTGTATTAAAAACATTTGAACAGTGAAATAGTTGCTCCTGGGGAAAAAAAGGAATACCTCCACTTGCTTTAAATTGTGCATGAGACATGAGGTATTATTACCTTTTATTTTTCCAACAAACATCACATCTAGCTGCGATGAGTCGGTACATAGAGATTAAATAACATTAGAATAACGCAGCGGGATGGTCAGTGGCGGCCATTAAAGTGGATGAGGGGAACGTATTCAGCAACAAGCAAAGCGCACTGTGCATAATAAAACTCAATGCTATTACCAGAGGAGCGACAGCTGTCCGTCTCCGTCTCTGTAACCGGTGTAGCGCTACAGGGTGGGGAATCAGCTACGCAGCGCCATAGCGCTAACTCCATCTCGGCTTAATGCTACACTGGTGAAAGACATTTTATCAAACTGCAGCGCTTGGTCTGGTGGTCCCCCCCCCCCACGTCGGGGATAGTTAGCTAGCTGGCTAATCCTACCAGGCTATGGTCGAGCAGAGAACCAGCTACCTAGCTAACCACCGCACAGCTGGCTACCCGGCCAGCGCTCTAATTCCTCAGTCAGCTTTAACTGCCACACTGGTTACAGAAAATAAGGGGAACAAAGGGCCCAGCGATCCCCGGGAAGACTAGCTAACTAGCTAACTAGCCAGCCATTCCGTCTCTGGCCCCGTGGGTAACTGTTAGCAGGGTACGCTAACACATAACAGCCCTGCTGGGGTGTGTTGTCACCATAAGAACTGTAAACAATGGCCATACTCCCATGTACGAGCATAATGACCCCTAAACCCTCCGACGTCCGCCTGGCTGCTGTGAACCGTGTAAGCGTGTAAGTTAATGACGTCACCGCGTTGGGCCGTCCGGCCTCGGGACCAGACGGTGTGTCGAACCAATCGGACTCAATGTGGAGGTGTGCGCTGAATCAGTAACTCAATAACTTGAGTGTGTAACAGGACTCGAGGGCCTCAGACACTCTTGTTTCCTGCTGCCAGAGACGATCAGCCCTCCCCCGGCTGTCGCAGCACACGCCTGCTTCACACGCCTGCTTCACACGCCCGTCAGTTGGGGTTGCGACGCGTGCTGTATGTTTCCCCGTTCCTCAGGCCGAGGCCGTATGTAGCATGTACATAGACGATCCCTCACTCTGTACATAGCTAAAGTGTACAGGTTTGATACAGCTATTCACACTCTGGCTTTTGATTTCTCCTTAATAAAAGTCATATATTCAAGCAATATTTCTGTAACTTAAAAAAAGGCACGGTGATGTGATGAGTTTGATTCGGTTTCCCCGGAGAGGGAGAAATGACTGTGAACGATCAAACTGTGGGACTAAAGCGCTGACCTCTGTTCATCACGCTGGATCCAGAAGGCCGGGGTGAAGCACACTGATCATCTCTGGACGCCGTCAGGGGGACGCGGGTCTGTTGGTGTTGGAGGGGTGCACCGCCTTTGAGCGCAGACCTTTTAAGAAGCAAGTGGTTATGTGAACAACCAATAAAACCAATAAAAATCATGGATCTCCTCTTTATTTCTTGTGACGGATCCATTAACAATATGCACACATCTAGTGGATTACATCAGCATCATTTACACAACCACCGCTTAACTTCACAGATTTAGTTTGAGCTGACGGGGGAATAAAGATGCAAAACTATATGATGAGATGTTTACCACATTTTGTTGTGTAACCCTGTGCTGCTAAATAATAATAATGAGAGTCTTTGGCACATAGAGGCTTTGAATTATACCCATAAGCAGAATAACAATGCACATGCATTTGTGTAAATGTGGATTTAAATAATATAATAATATTGTCTTGACAGACGCATGACAAAGAGTTCATCTTTATTGTCCGAATATATGAAACGTTGACACGTAATCTGGAGTCCGGTGTGATGGCGGATTCCGTCTTTCCCCCCCGCATCCTTTAATGTGTTTCTTTCTATGAAGCTTTCCCGTTGGATGGGAGTAAACGGGTCGGGGGGGGAGTTTTCATTCTTGCAAAGACCCTTTAGGTGAGACTCTCTGGCTCTTCATCACGGAGCCGACCGTCTCCTCCTCGGACGTCTGCTCCTCCGCCCACGGGTTCCACCCGCACAGGATGGAGGGGACGGCGTATCCCCGGAACTGGAAACACACACACACACACACACGCGGCACACGGTTAACCGCGGGAAGGGAGGGGCATCAAGTGCAGCGGTTCGCTGACGGAGGAATACCTGTCTGTTCATGAAGATGTAAATGATGGGGTTGTAGACGGTGCTGCTTTTAGCCAAGTAGACCGGTATGGTGGCGATGACGGGGTCGATGTGTAACGTGGAGTCCGTGATGACGGCGAGCGCCATGGCGGCGTACGGCAGCCAGGTCACCAGGAAGGCCAACACCATCACCACGATCATGCGTGCCACCTGCACCTCCACCCGATTGGTGCTGCCCGTCTCGGACACCTGCAGCTTGGTCACCTTCGCCCGCCCAACAAACACAGGAGGAGGGACGTCATCCACGGCCGCTGCGGCCCGCGGCGCCCGTCACCTGCCACTCACCTGGCGCAGCGTCCACAGGAGTCGCGAGTACGACACCATGATGACGGAGAAGGGCACGGCGAAGCAGAGGAGGAAGTATATGGTGACGTAGGACACGTTGCCCGGGTCCCGGCTGTACCAGTTCGGGGCGCAGGAGATCTTGACGCCCTCCAGCTCGTAGCTCCCCCAGCCGAAGAGAGGCGGCGTGTTCCACACGAAGGACCAGACCCAGGACAGCACCACCCCGGCCACGGCGTGTCTGAGGACAACGGAGACGGAGCGTCACACAGCGTGGGGGGGGGATCGAACATTGGTAGCCCCGGCGGACGGGGTGGCGATGATGGCTGCTGTACCTGGTCTGGAAGAGGACGGCCCCCATGGGATAGCACACCACGACGTAGCGCTCAACAGAAATCACTCCGATGGTGCACAGACTGGCTATGCCTGCAGTAAGGAAGGTGGAGAGATCACCGTCCTGCCACTTGAAGTCGCACCTGGATGTAACAGCTGAAGCCGAATGATAATAATGGTTCCTGGACTCCTGTTTGAAGCCTCTTTTGGGACCCGTGAGCAGGACGCGATCGTATCAAATCCCCTGATTCATGGTCACTTTGACGCTAAATGAACATCACCAGAACACTTGGAACTAGAGACTGAGACCATAAACTCATGTTTGCAATGTTTACTGAGGGAATAAAAAGTAGGGGCCGGATTCTAGAGGAAACTCTAACAAAGGACTCCTGGGTGGAACCTATAAAAACCCTTGAAATGTGAAATGGTTCTTTGGAAGCAGGAAGGTTCTGCGTAGAACAAATGGATCAACCAAAGAAACAAGGGAACTGTGCGTCTGTGTCTGGAGTTCCATCCCAATACTTCTAAAGTCACGTTTCTTACAGAATATTCCGAGATCCACTGAGAGGACGTTGAGTATTTCAACACGACGGCATCGCCCCTTTCACAATACACCGAAAAGTAATGTTCTCACCGAAAAAGGCCACGGCGAAGGCCTCCAGCACGCAGCCGGCGCGCCCCAGGCTGAAGTACCCCATGGCGCTGGTGACCGTGGTGGGCAGCCCCCCGCACGCCGCGCAGCCGAGGTCACACACGGCCAGGTTGACCAGCGCGTAGCTGAGCGGCTGCCTCAGCTGCCGGTGCCTCGCCGTCACCACGATCACCAGCGCGTTGAGGAGGATGCCGGCCACGGAGAACGCGCCCATGACGGCGGCCAGCGCGGCGTAGCCGCTCGGAGACAGGAGCTGTGCGTCGGCCGAGGCGTTCCCGTCACGCTCCATCCCCGCCCGGCGTGGATCGGGAGCTTCTGCTCGCTACAGTTAAACGTCCGAGTCCGAGTCCGAGTCCGAGTCCGAGTGGGGCTCCAGCAACACGAGCAGCACCTCCGTGTCGCTGCTCTGTGGAGGAAGGAGGGAGATGACACTTCCCTTAATAAGCCCAACTACAGCAGGGGAGGCAATTATTGAGAAACCAAATCCATGGATCGGATTGTGAGGACAATAATTCAGTCTAATATCCTGTAAGACGGCACTTTCTGTGATTGCTGTTTTAACAGCTGCTGTGACCCGACGTGTGCTTTGAGGATCCTCTGGCGGAGCGTTAAAGTGTTACTGTCATTTCTCTACTGAGTTACTCGCCAATGTTGGGTTAGCCGACACATGTACTATGAGTACTCATAAAGAGCGTGATTGGATCTACCAATCAATCAAATCTTTTTAAAGAGGTCAGAGGCAGCTTAAGAAAGGAGAGTTTATTAGAAATAAAGGCTCTGTACTGGTTCTACCAGAACCATCGGCCTGCTGGTGCACGAAGAGCTCTTTTATGTTCTGTGGTGCAGCGCCCCTCCCGGCCGCCAGAGGCCGCCACGCAGCGCGCGGCCGCCGCCGCCGCCGCGCGCTTTAAAGCCGCAGAGCGAGCGCGGCCCCGCCGGTAAACATGGCGGCCCGCGCGAGGAGAGCGGCGCACGACGTGGACGCGCGGAAGCGCACCGACGACGTGCTCCTGCCGGAGGGACTCGACTTCGGCTCCCTGCTGCTGTCGCCCGCGGTGCTGGACGGGTTGTCCTCCGCCGGCTTCCGGAAGCCGTCCCCGATCCAGCTCAAGGCGATCCCGCTGGGCCGCTGCGGACTAGGTGGGTCCCGATGGCGGCGCAGCGCGTTGACACAAATGATACAAACTCACTTTGCAGATGCCGCTCGGATGTTTATTTCAGTGGTTATTGTGCAGACAAATTAAATAGTTGCTCATTTTATAACGAAATGACATCTTGTTTCTTCTACAAAGACTCGCTACATCATCATGATCCCTCGCGTGTTTCTCTGGGTTCAAGAACGAGACTGGAGACTCAAATCAAAGCAATATGACAAAGTTTATTTGCAACTAGAGTCCTGCAGTTTAACGTGCACGGACCGATTTCAGGCAGTTTAACAACAACATGCAAGAAGGCGCTTAATACAAAGTGCGCTCGTATTATTTAGTCTCTAAGAGCATTTTGATTGGCTATTAAGGAGGAAGAGGCGGCTCCTGCTTAGAACCCTCAGAGCCCCATTGGAGCACAGGGACGTCCATCCCTCCGGCTCTCAGGTCATCACGCCCCCGTTGTTCATGAGTTCTTCATATCAGGATGTTTGCAAGATTATAATAATAATAATAATGTAAAAGAAAATGATTTGCATATAAGCGGTGGGCGCAGACATGTTGTTCTTAAAATGGGCAACAGGTGTTTGACCAGATAGTGCTGCAACACGTCCGTGTGCTGGTGCTGTGACTTACGTGTTGTTCATGCAATCCGGCCGTCAAGCGGCCTTCGCCCATTATTAATATGCATTCATAGTTCAGGTGTAATTTCATTCTAGCGTGACGTGCATGTTTATATTTTAATACAGTTCCACGTGTTCTACAGTTTAACCTCCATCGAGCTTCTGTCCTTTCAGACTTGATCGTTCAGGCCAAGTCCGGCACGGGGAAGACGTGCGTGTTCTGCACCGTGGCCCTGGACTCGCTGGTCCTGGAGAACCCTTCGACTCAGGTGAGTGGACTCACACGCCAGGTGGTCTAGGGAGTAATCCCCCTCTCCCCCCTCCTCCCCCCACACACCTGACTGAGGGGCTTAAGCTGCTCACAGTGGAAAAAAAGTAAATGCAATTATTGGTAAAAGCAGAGGAACATCTGCTCAGTTGAAAAGGTAAATTTTCCCTTAACCCGGGGTTTTTTACACCCCCCCACCGCCCCCCCCCCCCCCCCCCCGTCCTTAATCTGCCATCAGACCTGAGTGGATGTGAACCGGTGACGGACTCCTCCTTCCTCCTGCAGGTCCTCGTCCTGGCGCCCACGCGGGAGATCGCGGTGCAGATCCACGGGGTGGTGATGGCCATCGGCTGCACCATGGAGGGTCTCGAGTGCCACGTTTTCATCGGGGGCCGACCTGTGAGTCAGGACAAAGCCCACCTCAAGAGGTGCCACGTGGCAGTGGGCTCGCCTGGTGAGATGCACTGTGGGAGGGAGGGATGGATGGAAGGGGGTAGAGGGAGGATGGATGGAGGGGTAGATGGAGGGATGGATGGAGGTAGGGATGGATGGATGGAGGGGTAGAGGGAGGGATGGATGGAGGGGTAGAGGGAGGGATGGATGATGGATGGATGGATGGATGGATGGATGGGAGTGATGGATGAAGGGGTAGAGGAGGGATGGAGGTAGGGATGGGTGGATGGAGGGGTAGAGGGATGGATGGAGGGTGTAGAGGGATGGATGGAGGTGGGAGGATGGAGGAGGGGTAGGGTAGAGGGATGGATGAGGGGTAGAGGGATGGATGGAGGGATGGAATGGATGTAGAGGATGGATGGATGGATGGAGGGGTAGAGGGATGGATGGATGGATGGAGGGGTAGAGGGAGGGATGGATGGAGGGAGGGAGGGAGGGATGATGGATGGATCTGTAATGCAGACATCTAAGATTAGAGTTGAGTAATTGTAGGTAAAAGCATAAAGTCGTTCCTGCCTCTTTACCCCCCCCCCCCCCCCCCCCCCACAGGCCGCATCAAGCAGCTGGTCGAGTTGGGCTTGTTGTCCACGTCCAGCATCCGGCTGTTCGTCCTGGACGAGGCCGACAAGCTGCTGGAGGAGGGAAGCTTCCAGGAGCAGATCAAGTAAAGCCGCTTCAGTTCCCACGGTGCTACAAATCAAAGCCGTTGGCTAGATGTTCTTCTTACTAACCCCCCCCGACCCCCCCGACCAGCTGGATCTTCTCCTCTCTGCCTCTGAACAAACAGATGCTCGCGCTCTCCGCCACCTACCCAGAATCCCTCGCTCAGCACCTCGCCCGCTACATGAGGGAGCCCACTTTTGTCCGACTCAATCCCAGCGACCTGGGCCTCAAAGGTGAACCCTGACCCCCCCCCACCCCCCCCAGACCCTCCCAGGTGACGATGTCATCCAAGAACACACTCGGAATGCAGCAGCTGGCAGAGAAATATAGTATTGCACACATATTATTTACTTGTCAGCATATTCGATGGCATCAGCATTCTGCGAATTCGTTTTAAAAGGAGTCATTGTTGATGATGACCACGCTGCCCGTTAATCGCTGCCTCAAATTCAGTGATTTCAGCATCTTAAGCATCCTCTGCTTTACTTTCCTATGTGGCAGCAGGCAGAACGTCTTCGTGGGTAAATCAAATGTTTGACGACGTTTCGGACGTTTGTTGAAATTTTTCAGAAATTCTTGAGACCAAAAGAATTGATTCATGAAGAAACTAATCGACACATAGATGCTGGTTGAGTTTTTGTGGGTATTTCGGAGGCTTCTTTTGAGTTTTGTTTGATAAAAGCTTAAAGTGACTGTAAATGTATTGTTATGTAACAGCGTTTTATGAACCTACCCCCCCCTCCCTCCCCCCCAGGTCTGAAGCAGTACTACAAGCTGGTGCCGTCCCATCCTTTCCCTCACAAGATCTTCCAGGAGAAGGTGCAGCACCTGTTGGAGCTCTTCAGTAAAATCCCCTTCAACCAGGCTCTGGTGTTCTCCAACCTCCACACCAGGTACGTGAACAGCCCGAGGTTCCCCCGATCGACTCCATTGGTCCAGTGTTTGAACGCTCCCCCCCCCCCCCCCCCCCCCCCCACACAGGGCTCAGCACCTGGCGGACATCCTGTCCTCCAAAGGACTCCCCGCTGCTTGTATCTCAGGTGAGGTGTGGATGTGACGCCGGGTATCAATGGTGCCGTTAGTACAACTGTTGAGCTCTTAAAGGGCCGGCGGCTCAACGTGTGTCCACCTGAAAGACCCCCAGGGGGTCTCCACGTAGCTATCGATCCAAACGGCCCCTTCTCGTGCAGGCGGTCTGAGTCAGGACCAGAGGCTGGAGGCCATGTCCAAACTGAAGCAGTACCAGTGCAGGGTGCTGATCTCCACTGACCTGGTGAGACGCTGTGTGTGTGCGTGTGCGTGTGCGTGTGCGTGCGTGTGCGTGTGGTGTGGTGTGTGTGTGTGTAATCAATCCTGCTCGTTCTTCTCCTCAGACCTCCAGAGGCATCGATGCAGAGAAGGTGAACCTGGTGGTGAACCTGGACGTGCCTCAGGACTGGGAGACCTACATGCACCGGATTGGACGGGCCGGACGCTTCGGTACCGATTTTTAATTTTTTTTATTATTTTCTAACTGAGACGATCAGTCGTGACCGCCGAGTGTTGTTTGATGCTCATCGTTCGGACGGAGCGGCGAACGCACAAACGTTGCGTCCGCTGGAGCTCCTCCTCCTCCTCGTCACCTCTGTCTCTGCGCTGCTGCGTTTGCTCTGCAGGCACTCAGGGGCTCGCCGTGACCTACTGTTGCCATGGCGAGGAGGAGAACAAGATGATGGCCATCGCCCAGAAGTGCGGCCTGACTCTGTCGCCGTTGCCACGTGAGTCCGTCCATCCAACCGCTTTGCCTCTTGAGAAGCCCGCCTCGTTTTTTCAACGCCATCCCGTCTTCTGTCCCCTTTTCAGCCACCATAGAGCCGGGTCTGATGGACGAGCCGTGTGACTGGGACGTCTGCACCGACGCGTCCGCTGCGGGCGCCGCCGCCGCACCGCCCCCGCCGTCCTCCCGGCCGCAGAAGAAGAGGAAGCCGCAGCGCGATCAGGCGGCGGAGCACGGCGTCCTCAGGAGGCCCGACAGGAGCCATCCGGAAGGCGAAGGGCGGCCCGGGAAAGTGTCCCCTGCCGAGGACGCTCTCCGGCGGTGTCCCCCGCCGTCTCCTCCCACTCCGGCCGCGGCGACCCGCAGAGAGCAGCAGGACGCGCTGCCGAAGATCCCTCCCCTCAGCTCCTTCAAGGGTCACAGGTCGAGGGTCGTGACCCTGGAGGAGGCCGAGCAGGACTTCTACGGCTTCATCACGGCGGGGGAGGGGAGGTCGGTGGAGGTCATCAGGGAGTTTGGCGGCGGAGACGACGGGGACGCGCACAGAGAGTCCTTCACGCTCGGCGACGGCGAAAGCGTAAAACTCAAGGGGGGCCGGTGGACACCTGACCTTTGGCCCCCGCGGGCGGCTTCTGGTTCCTGCGGCCCGCCGCGGGACGACGACGACGACGCCGGGACCGGCCGGACCGGAGGAGGCCAACGCGAGGCGCTCAAGACCCAAGGTCCTCCAACGCCCGCCGCGTCAATACCGAAGGCGGGCGCCGCCCCATCCAGAGTGGCTTCCACGGCCGACGCCGCCCACCGGACGGCCGGCGCCTCCTCTCCGCCCCGCAGGCGCCACTCCGGACGGAGCGGGCCCCCGACCGCAGGACAGGGAACCAGGAAGGGGGAGGAGACGCCCGGAGGGAGGAGGAGCAAGAAGGCTTTGGAGCCGAAGAGGGAAAGGGAGGACGACGAGGACGACGAGGAGGAGGATGATGATGATGATGATGAAGAGGAGGAAGAGGACTGGAGCCCTGAAGCCTACTGGAGAGCCAGCTTCAGAGCCTGGAACGATTACTACGCCTCCGTGTCCCCGTTCCAGGAGCGAGGCCCCCAGAGCTACTACGCCGCCGCCCACGACTGGATGGCGGCGTACCGCATGAACGCCGTCTACATGGAGGAGCTCCTGAGGCGCTGCCCTACGGCTCCTCGGCCCACCAGGAGCTCATACTGTGTGTTCTAATAAACGAGCTGTGTGGAGTTTATGGTCTTTCAAGTTCATGCATCAGAGCGCGTCCGTCCCCGACGTGGACACACACACACACACACACACACACACACACACACACACACACTCTGACGCAGTGAAGAAGGAGAGCGGATTCTGTGCTTGTGGCAGATATAGTTTTTTTTTATCAGGCGTTTTCACAGTCGGGGACACGAGACAAAGGTCATAAATAATATCCAACAGCTGACAAACGCACGGCAGTCCGAACAACAACGGGCGGCGCAGGAGGCCAAAGCAAAGGGTGAGCAGGGAGAAACTGACCGAGCCCATGAGCAGGAAGGGAGAGCACATGACAAGAGACAAACACAATCACAGACCTCTGGTTTCTGTTTGCGAAACGATAGAAAAGAAGAAAAAGCTTCGAGTCCAAACGCGTCGGCTGAAAGTGACACGTAGCAACCTGCTGGGAGGAGGAAGCGTAAATAACACGTTTAAATCACCAAAGACACGAGGAAAAAAACACGGCTGTGTCCCACCTTTGTGTGGACCGCGTCCTAAATGTCCCACTGGACACTGAGAACAAGACGTCAACGTCTCCACGAAGGTCCCACTCAGAACTTCTGTGCTTTTTTTTTTTTTTTTTTTTTTCCCTGCAGGTTAATTTAGTACGTGGTGGTTCTGAGGTGTAACACACTTCCTGTTCCGGGGGGTTTGATGGGGGGGGTCTAAAGCACAACAAACCTCTGATGTGGAACCAGATCTGCTGTATTTCACCACGTTTGATAAGATGGTATTTTGTAAGTCTTCGTACAAATGCATGTGAGGTGTAATTAAATAGGTTCCGCCTCTATTTAAAGGTTCCACACGTCACTTCCAGGGAAAAGAGCCTGTGGGCCGACGCAACATTAGTCCGGTTCCCGTATTGCCTTTTGAAATGTGCCACTGGCTGACGGATGAAGGCTTCAGTCCGTGTGCTCTGGATCTCCATCTCATCTCTTTAAAGATCTCCGTCTCATCTCTTTAAAGATCTCCGTCTCATTAAAGATCTCCATCTCATCTCTTTAAAGATCTCCGTCTCATCTCTTTAAAGATCTCCGTCTCATTAAAGATCTCCATCTCATCTCTTTAAAGATCTCCGTCTCATTAAAGATCTCCGTCTCATTAAAGATCTCTGTCTCATCTCTTTAAAGATCTCCGTCTCATCTCTTTAAAGATCTCCGTCTCATTAAAGATCTCCGTCTCATCTATTTAAAGATCTCCGTCTCATTAAAGATCTCCGTCTCATCTCATTAAAGATCTCCGTCTCATTAAAGAAGAGGAAGGAGAGGAGCTGCTCAACGTGGAAACGACCCAACATAATAATCTAAAGGCCAACAGGGAGGCAACAGCTGAAAAGGTCCCGTCCGTAATCCCAAAGGTCAACTCTGATGGGACGGCTCACCTTGTCCCCCCCCCATCTTTAAATTCTTCAGTAGATCAAACAAAAATCCTTTTGAAACACAGAGGACAAAAAGTACAAACACCAAGTTTCCTAATCACATAGAAGTACACGTACTCAACAACTGTAAGAAAATGCCCGCTGGGGGGGTGTTTTTGGGGGGTCAACAGCTAAAAAGACTTCTGAAAGCACTCTGTTGTTCACACGGGAGCGAGGGACACACCAGGATCACAACAAGAGAGAGACAGACCGAGGGACGGGGGACGACACGAAGACAGCTTCACTGGTTCTGCCAGACGATGTTCAAATATTACAAAATATTCTATTAACAATATTCACAGAAAAAGAGAAAGAAAGAACCGGGCCTCGCGTGTCGTTCCTGTCAGAGACTCTCAGCGGACGCCGTGTGCTTTTGATCGTGAGGGTTTGAATTCAGAACGTCGTCTTCATTTGGTTTCTCTGCGTTATTCGAGGTCAGTCGGGGGGGGAAGAAAAGCTACGAACACAAATCTTTTACTCAGGCATCTCGTGTAAAAAAGGCCCCTCAGCTGAGAACGTCTGACGGGACACGTGCACGAGGAACCTCACACGCACACACACACGCACACGCACGCACACGCGTACTAGAGGCGCGTTTCTCTACCAACAGGTGGAGCAAAAGAAGCGACACGAACCGAAGCGTCTTTGTTCTTTCTTCCTGCTTTAGGAATAAATGAAACAAATGAAAATGACTTGTGACTTCACATGTTCTCCCTCTGTAACACACACACACACACACACACACACACACACACACACACACACACACTCTGTCACAGACCACCTTTCATGTTTCATCTTTTTCACCCTTTGGAATAAGAAGAAGAGCTGCTGAGGGTTTAAATCAGCATAATTGCTTTTCCCGTCTTTATGCTTAACACAAATAAAGGAACCATGAAGGAAACTGAAGCAGAACTCATGAAAAGGTGCTTTGTGGAAAGTGACGCACACGCCTCCATCACGCTCTCACACGCACACACGCACACACACACACACACCCGGGATCTAAAGCCGCCCTGGGAGTCCATGTCGTTACAGTACATGACCAGCAGAGGGCGGCCTCCACCACAGCTGGACCAGGACCCTGAACGCCTCCTCCGTCTCCGCCGTCCTCGTCCCTCAGTCTGTCTCCGTGAGTGTGTGTGTGTTGTTGTTGTTTTTTTTAGATCTTCCATACTGTCTTTCCTCACAGCGCAGACACCTTCACAACGTTCTGGTGGGCGGGGCCCGCGCGCAGGTGTGCGTCGCCGTCGGAGGTCGTCACCGGCGGCGTGGGGATGCTGATGATGGCCGTGGTGATCTGGCTGCTCTGGCAGTTCAGGGACGCCGGTTCGTCCACGCGCATGTTCAGGCTGGAGCGGCTGTGGGATGAGGGGGGGGGGGGGACAGGAAGTCAAAGGCTTGGACCGAGGCCTCTGACAGCTCAGCGGCACAAATAACCCCAATATGTCGCCCATCCGTCTTGTCCGGATGCGGCCTGCAGACTAAAAGAGGTTTTGGCAGCTCGCAGAAACGAGCAGCTGAATCCTCTCGAGAGGAAATAAGTTATTGGAAATAAGACTAAAAGATGCCACGGATGTCCCGTGGCGGCGGGTTGATCAGCTGACTTCATCCACCAGATGCTCCTCTGTGTCTCGGCGCTCGATGGGTTTAATGGTTAGATTGTCCCTGGAGTCTAAGTTTGAGTTGTTTGTTTGTTGTTCAGCGTTAATGGCTGTTACGTGTCAACGCGTTGGACCTTCAACAGAAAATGTTGCATAAAAAGAAAAAATGAAAGTGTTATAGTTTGACTACACAAAAAAGTCTTTCGCTAAAAGATATTTTTGTTAGAGGACACATTAATCACACGCGCTGTTTCTTTTGATGGATTGTTTTATTTTTGTTTTGTTCACCACTTTCCAATGTGTGCGTAGGATCACAAACTGCATTTTGTTGTGTGACACTAAATGAACGTGTTGTTGTGTTAACGCAGCTCTTATCTGCTGTTAATATACAATTAAAAAAGTGCAACACTAAAGAAACTCCGATAACTGAATATTAAATAAGGTTTTGTCACGTTTGAGTTTGATTATTTGCCTCATAATGTCCAACCAATGTCTAAAATGATGATGGCACACGCTAGCTGTTAGCCATGTTAGCTACACACGTTCTAATTCACCCACATTCCACTGTTACTCAAGTTGCTGTCATGACGTCTTAGTGAAACGTTCACAAATATTATTAGCATACAATTGGACAATTTTCATTTGGACAAATCTGCTCTGGCCCGTTAGCTCAGTTTGTGTTGTTTCGCTCGCGCCGCAGACGTTGAGACATTTTACGTTTTTTTTGCTAGCAGAAAATACTTCAATGAAAAGCTTCTACTTTAACGTCAGCTTTACAAAATGTGCGCATGCGTAGTCGTTTCTCACTGATCAGCGGTTGGGAGATTGCTAGTTAGCAGCTATCCGCGCTGTTAGCTTAATTACTAAGTAGCTAGCAGCTGTTAGACGTTACCAGCTACTAGCTAACCACTCAGTAGCTATAACGTTTAGCTACTAGCTGGTAGGGCTGTCAACGAATATTCAGAATTTGAATATATATTCGGATAGTTGTTAAAAACAACTATTCAAATGTAAAAAAAAATCTTTTATTATTTTAATATTTAGTCGCACCGCAAATTAAATATGTTTAACCTTAAATAAATAAATAATCTATGCAAGTAGTTATGTCTCGTTGTATTAATTTGTCCTGTTATTGACCTGTTTAAATTAAATTAAATGTATTTGAATATATGTGGGTTTTTTTAAATAAACGGGTCCAGCAGAAGGGGGCTAACACAGCATTCATGCGTTCTGACATCTTTTACCAGTTTACATGCAGAATATTCTAATAGACGCATGGAGCTCCTCCACAAATACAGCAAGTTTAAATGAATAAACATGGAGCTGTTCCCAATAGTGTAGAATCCATTAGTTATTATTAGTCCATCATCGTCCCCCTGCTCTCGGCCGTCTACGATAAATACAGATGTAATTAGACTTTTCCAAAATTTCCTCCATGTTCTTTCCTCAAAACAAACGCCGTGGTCGGATCCGTACATGTTGACAATTATCCTTCCACAAGCCGAGGTCGAAAAAGCACAAAGGGAGGCACGACTACACGTTGTGTAACAACGACGACACAAAGTCCTACTTTTGTATCGGCTTAGGACTTTAAGGCTTAATTCAAAACCTCAACAGAAGCTTTGAATCCAAACAATGAGCCCTAAAATATATTTATCTATTTTTACCCTTTTAAAAGTCATTTGATGTTTGTCTTCTAATACCTCCTCCTTTATCTTCTTAACCATTGTCTTCCATCTTTTCATTTATCCTTGCTACACACTTTGGAGCATTTAGCCGGAGTGAATAAGTATCGAATCGAAGAAAAATAAACTAATAATATTGAAAAATAAAAAAAGGATTCAAAATAAAAAAGAAGTGAATGACATATTCTTCACTGACTTCACTTTTTATATTCAGGTTTTAAATGGTAAGAAGGAAACGAGCTCCTTGATTCAGTTTCCCTCGTTGTGATCAGCAGTTTTCTCGCCGTCTGCGTTTCATTCGTATATATTTAACGTCCTTATGCCACATAGACACGTCTTGCATTGCGTATTATTCATGTTTCTCCTGATACATTAAAGCAGTCCTTTGTAATATTACTGTCAGGATTTATAATAATCATTTCTAAAGACTTTTAAAGAGCCGTATAAATGTATTTTATGGTCTTTGGACGCGGCTTGTGATGCATTATAGACTTGACCTTGACATTTAGTGTTGAAGTCACTCGCTGAGACGCCTCACTGCAGAAACACAATTCAACTGTTGGCCACGCGGCACACACACACACACACACACACACACACACACAGAAAGGTGAGCGACCCTTTGGTCTGCACGCTCACCTGGTGCTGAGCGGCTGGATGTGGATGGTGCTGAGCTCCTGGAGGCCCCGCGGGTGGGCGTGCACCTGCGTCAGAGGCTGCATGTGCGCCGGGCCGCTGGCGTTCTGTAGAGGGGCGTGCTGCTTCTTGCTGCGGCGGGTGCAGCACGTGCCCGACACGCCGTCCCGGCTGGAGAGGGAGGGGCTTCTGGAGGGGTAGTTCTGCAGCCCCGCCTCCAGGTAGCTCTGCTGGTAGTACTGCTGGTCCACGAACTCGTGGTTCTGGAAGAAGAGGACGAGGCAGAGAGACATTTACAAGCTTTATATTTATGACCATGTGCCTCACAGGACTTCATGTGGCCTGTTTCATATTCCTCAGGCAATAACTCAGAGATTAAGTCGAGCAACATATTTTGTATTGTTGCTCAGTTAATACGACATATTAGGTTTCATAAAGCGACTGTAGTCAGGATTTATTATTAATGTTTGACTCCTCTGCCGAATGTGGAAATATTCAGAAACACATTTAATCTTTGGATAAATTAGCAGGAGGGTACTTTAATTTACTTACAGTAGCAAGTAAGTTGTTTTTATTGGTGTTTAATTACAATAAACTATATAATTGAGAGGAGAGGCTGTGAAAGTGTAAATATTAAGTATGAATCATTTGTGGAGCTTGTGGACTCGTGTTGAGGGTAAAGATTCCGTTCTTTGCCAATTTTGGTAAATACATTTCTTTTGAGACGGATGCCGCGGTAACGGATTAACCATCGGCACTTCTCGCCGGGACGGAGCTCTTCTAAGGAGGAGCCGTTCTTTCAGGCTGCTGTGGGGTCGGAGGGCGCAGCACTCACGGTGGTCTTCTCCAGACAGTGCAGCAGGTGGTGGTGCTGGCTCTCCAGGAGAGAGGTGGACTTGTTCAACCGCTGATCCTCCTCAGTGGAGCTCTGGAACACACACGCACACACACACGCACACGCACACACACACACGCACACACACAGTTATTCTGGTGTTATTTCTAAGGACGGCAGTAATCTGATTCCAGCTCCTCCCCGTACCTGCTCCGAAAGGTTCATCTTGTACGGTAGTTGCTTGGGTTGGAGATGGAGACAAAAGAGACAGATTGTTTCATTGGGGGTCAAAGTTCAGCACAGAACAGTCAGGGGTCATTTCTGCTATGGTGCGTTGATCTGAGCGGGGGGAGACCGTCTCTCCACGTTAAAGACTTGGTTTCCTTCTCTTCCTGCTCTATAAGTCACTGACTGACGAGAGTAAAGGAACCGACCAAGAAGAACATTTCATGCCTTATCCTGTGCGAAAGCTGAAGAAATATTCATGAACCTGTTGTGCCGTCATCGTCTCTTTGCTTTATGTTTCCCACATTTTATGGGACAGTATTTGAAATCCAGCAACTAAGCGAGGCTCATGAGAAGAGCTCAGCAGAAGTGCTCACCAGAAGAGCTCAGGAGAAGATCTCAGCAGAAGTGCTCACCAGAAGAGCTCAGGAGAAGAGTTCAGGAGAAGTGCTCAGGAGAAGTGCTCAGGAGAAGAGCTCAGGAGAAGCGCTCAGCAGAAGAGCTCAGGAGAAGAGCTCAGGAGAAGTGCTCAGGAGAAGAGCTCAGGAGAAGTTCTCAGCAGAAGTGCTCAGGAGAAGTGCTCAGGAGAAGAACTCAGCAGAAGATCTCAGCAGAAGAGTTCAGCAGAAGAGCTCAGGAGAAGAGCTCGGCAGAAGAGCTCACACACAGACGTGGCGCCCGGAAACTCCTCTTCTTGTCCTCTTCTAAAGCGCCGCTTCACACTTTCACCGCGTTGCATCAGTCTTCCTCGACAGAATCTGCAGTTTACTAAAAGCAACAGAGCCACGGCGCCCTGCTGGGGAGGGTTTGGTGTATTTTTAAGTCTCTGCGGTTATTAAGCTGCAAACTATGACTCAGACACATCAAGGTCAACGTTAATGTTGTTTTATAAAAATCTGCATTTGGTGGCTGAAAAAGTCCAAAACATGATCTCTGGTGTTGAATCAGCCGTGAGTGATGAGAGCGACAGGAAGCTTCTCTCAGGACTCAGGACGCTTGGGACAGTATTTGAAGTCCAGCATCTAAGCGAGTCTCAGCAGAAGAGCTCAGGAGAAGTGCTCAGGAGAAGAGCTCAGGAGAAGGGCTCAGGAGAAGGGCTCAGGTGTCTGACCTGACCTCTAACCTCGAGGTGATGTTCCACTCTGACGCTGTGCTCGGAGAAATCAGGGTACTACTGTTACCAACCCAAACATCATTACATCATTACTTCATCTTTAAACAAGCGTCTGCAATTAAACATCTTAAATGAAGACAAATCTCCAACAGGATTCTGAAGATTTTCTGCCTCATGAATGAAACAAAGAGCCGAAAGAGTGAAGCAGAAATCTTGACAGTTAACATCGATGTGCGGAGAAGCAAACATTTAATAAATACTTCACTCCTGACCTCGTGCGAAGACGGATGGAAACATATAAAAAAAACACATTGTGTCTTCAGGAAATCAATATGAACGCGATGCATTATTCAAGTGATTCTGTCCTGCCTCATAGACGTGGGGGGCCAACGAGCCAATGAGGTCGCGGCGTTCTGAGAGCTGGTAACTGGAGGAGACGGTCAGTGTGAGTGAGGGGGCGGGAGGCGGGGGGGGGGGCGTGTCTTACCGTGAACTCCGGCGCCTCGCTGAACAGGCCGTTGCGCTTGCTGTGCAGGAAGGCGTTGGAGGTTCCCTGCTTGGATATTCGTATCCTGGCCAAGCGGGCTTTCTGCGAGCAGAACAAAGGCCGAGCGGCCGGGTCAGTCAGAGCTCCTTCTGCCCGCATCTACTCAAACACGTGCTCCTGAAGCCTTCGCTGTGATCTCCTGCGACGCGCGTGAATGATTAATGCCGACTACGCCATAACACGTTCTTCTGGGTCCAGAAACCAGCGGCGGGTTCTGAATGAATTGAGCAGCTACGTGCGTTTGAAATAGCTCATTAAATGCTTCACGTGGATCACGTGATCCATCGCGTGCGTCATCGAGGGAGCGCGCAGCGCCGTGTCGCTTTCCCACACTGCGGCAGCACATTCGGCGTGTGTCGAGTCACGGCTGCAATGCCGAGCGCCCCGTTACGCCTAAAAGCACCTGTTAGCGCCGCCATCGACCGCCGCGCTGACTCCTCCCACGCCACTCTCCCCTCAGCTAACCAGCCCGCTTCGCTGCCCGGCGGACCGGCTCAGTCCGGCCCGAGAGGTTCTGACGCGCTGGGAGAAGGTCGAGGACCGCGTGTGACACCAACGTGGGGCGAGTGCGCCTCCGGCTTGTGTGCAACACGTCGGCGCCTCAATAAGTGACTCAGTGAGCAGAAGAGCTGCTCTCAGAACGCTGTAATCTGAGTCACTCACGTCTCCGAGGGGGGGCCATTTCCCCGCCAGAGTCAAGAGCCGGGTGTCAGTCCGGCTGCAGCTACACAGTGTGTGTCTGTGAGCGCGTGTTTCTCTGTTGTGCGTGTTGTACCAGCATGACGGATGAGGGAAACGGCGTAAACGATGAGCAGAGGGCCTGTTTAGTTGCCCCCCCCCCAACACCCCCACGCTCCCGTTGCACCGCTGAGGCGTGTGTTGTGTGTTCCTGCACATCTCCTGGTGTGCGTCTGCAGGTGTGTGTAGCTGAATTGTAATTTATACACGCGTGCTGACTGGCTCAGTGAGCGAATGCTAATGTATGCTAATCCCGGCTCATCCCCCCTTCATCTAAAACACGCCGCTGATGTTCGGGGCCCCGCAGGTCGCTGAGACGCTGTAATCCAAACGGAGACGGAGGTAAACAGCCGCGCACGTGGACGCGTGCACGGCTGCCACTTTAGCGTCTACAGCGCAGACCTGGATCCACCTGGATCCACCTGGATCCCCCTCTGCAGCTCCGGGACAGATTCAACGGCCTATCGGGCTTCTGGGGCCGAGAGCTAACGGAAGCTAACGGGAGCTAACGGGAGCTAACGGGGAGAACAGGAACCAAAGGTTCCTTCACACATGACGTACTTGCTGAACACGTTCTAAAGCTGTAAACTGTCGGTTTCAGTGTTGATATTTCTTACTGGTTTTAAAGTACATTCAGGAAAACCGTAGCTGTAATACGGCAACACCTTCTAACCGATGGGCGCAGTGACGCTGAACTCCACTTTATGATCAAACGCCTCCGGTTGGCTTCTCTCAGCCGGAGCTTCACACTACGGATGATTGTGGAGGATGTGAGGCGGCGCACGGCGCCAGCTGAGGCGTCTAAATTCACATAAATCCTGAAATGATCAGAAAACGCTGCACGTCCGCGTTGCTCCAACGGCGAACTCACGCTGAGCATCACGGGAAGAAGTTAGAAGTTCTTTATTCTGGGAATGAAAGTTGAAAAAGACGAACTGAACGAGTGAAAAGTGGAGCAACCGAGCTGTGAGACCAGAGAGACACACACACGCACGCACGCACACACAGACACGCACACAGACACACACACACACACACGCACACACAGACACGCACACAGACACACACACACACACACGCACACACAGACACGCACACAGACACACACACACACATGCCCACGCACACACACACACACACACGCACACACAGACACGCACACGCACACACACACACACACACACTCACGCACACACACACACACACACTCACGCACACATGCACACGCACACACGCACGCACACAGACACGCACACAGACACACACACACACACACAGACGCACACACACATGCACACATGCGCACACACACACACACACACGTACACACACACACAGACACACACACACACGCACGCACACACACACACATGCACACACACACACACACACACATGCGCACACACACACACACACACACGCACACACACACACACACACACAGACATGCACACACACACGCACACACACACAGATGCACACACACACACACACACACATGCGCACACACACACACACACACACGCACACACACATACACACACACACACACACACACACACAGACATGCACACACACACGCACACACACACAGACACACACACACACACACACACACACAGACATGCACACACACACGCACACACACACAGACATGCACACACCTAACATAACTCTTGACCCCCCCTCAAAGAAGTCGACACCTTTCCAAACGCTTCCTCCACAGCGCAGACGACTTCATCGATCGTCTACAGCAGCCGAGCACTTTGAGCCACAAGGCGGCTTCACCTTTGACCCCAAGGGAGGCCGGACCAATGGCGACATGATGGAGAGCGAATGGAGGGGGGGGGGGGCTTCTCATTATCTCAGCCGTTTGGTTGCGGTGACTCATGTGTTTTATGGAGCTCCTGCTGACAGGTGGGCCAACAGCTGACGGAGCGCGCTGCACCCGAGCGCCTCGCCTCCGCTCCGCTCCACTGTGTGCAAAATATCCTCATATGTTTTTTTTACAAAAAGCCGAGGCAGAAGCCTGCGTACCAGGATGTGCGGCAGCCTTCGGCCGTGTTTGTGAGTCTGAATGACGGGTTTGTTGCGTGTTGTATTCATTCAGCTCTCAGGAAGCGCCGCAGAAACTTCTCACCCAGTTTAGAAAGTTAAACAGACTATAACGATAGAGACAAACCAAACAACGAGAGATGTGCATTAAATGCATTATACGTTGCATTCAATAAAAGAACGATTCTTAACGCTTTGTAAATAAAAGAAAAAACGGTTGAAAGAAACGCGAATGAATTCATCGATTAAAAAATGGAATGTTATTTTTCCTTCTGAACGATGTTTGTTGAGCTCCGACGTTAGCGGTCAGCTAGCCTGTTTGGCTAAACGACATGATTGTATTACAAATAAGTTTGATTATTGAACGAGATAAAGACCTAAAACGAGCCCCGTTACACTGTAACAGTTCAAATCTGCCAATTAAACTTCAAAGGCGTGAAGAGAAGGATAATAAGAAAGCCGTGATGAACATTTGTTGGAATAAATGATCTTATCCTCTTATGCGCCAATGCAGTGTTTCCGCCACCGTCACATACGGCGTTTACAGTCCTCCGCCGCTCTCTGCGTGTCTTTGCGTCACGTCTCTTGATGGGATCGTGAAGCGGTGAGGACTTTGTAGGCCGAGCGGCGGATGCGCGTCGTCCCCACGCAGCACCCCGAGGCCTCCTCCTCCGCCTCCCACCCAGGCCGTCTATCTACCAGCGCCCAGACGGACGGCTAATTGTAGCGGGAAGCCCGGAACGGCCCCCAGTTAGGCCCCAATGGAGATGGATGTGAGCGTGGGAGGGGATGGAAAACGGAGCAGTGGAACGCCGGGTCGGGATGGCGCACGCTTTCTGGGTCACAGCGAAAGAGGAAATGCATGAATATAAATTTGGTCTCATTTATTTTGGAAGTCAACCATTACTGTTTTTTGTTTTAACGTGTTTAACTTTGTGTCCACATGCCGCCTTTTTCAGTTGTTCTCAATGAGGAGAGACGGTTTTAAATATCCCAACGGGTCAGAGGTCACGCGGGGTAAACGTTGTCCTTCTGACCCGACGGCGTGACACGAAGTGGTTGTGCAGCTCCTCTGATCCAGATGGATGCCAGCCCAATGAAAAGCAGGGGGGGGGTCAGGGGTCATCGGCTGTTCATTGGAGCATTAAAGAGCGTTTTTTCGTCGCAGCGTTGGGATGAACAAAGGGCCGAGCCCCCGCGGCGGTTTTCTGTCAGAAAGAGACGCGATGTGAACACAAGACCTGAGGCGCTCCGATACTGGCACATTCATAAAAATATACATAAATAACATGAACGTAAATACTACTAAATATCCGTCGGGGATCAGCTGACAACATCGTCTGTGAAAATGTTCCAAACAGCCTTCATTTGACATAAAATGACTCTAATAATAATAAATGTTAGAACATTAAGCTGCTTCCTGCTTCCTGATCAACGTCTGTCCCACTTTCACTCTCACGAAACAGAAGAATGGATTTTTTTCCCGGAAACACGACAAAGCGCTGATGAAGCGGCGCTCCGGCAGACGACCGGCGGCGGCGGCTGAGCGGTTGGTCACATGTCACTGAGGTTGCGGAGCGTTAAAGAACACTACGTGTTGTGCAGCCGGTTGCTGAAGGATGCGGCGCGGATGTGGCGTCCGTCGTGACTCGGCGGTACTTTAGAGGCCCCAGCTGTCCTTGGCAGTGAGGGGGGGGCCGCACGCCGCCGGTGGCTCAATCACACACCGGAGGAGGTGACGTGAGGTCGGCTGAGGCCCCTCAGAGGCTTTGAAAGTGGAGTAAAAGAGTCAAAAACCAAAAGGTTTGGTAATTCTTTTGTTGATTGATGAACAGCTAATATGTCACAGTTAATAGTTTAGCTCTTTGATCAGCTACTCAGACGTTCTGCTGAGAACAATGGAAAAGATTACTTTGTACTCTACATTTAATTGGAAAAAGATTTTTTTTCAATTCATAAACTCAATGTTTATTTTTAGTTCTTTATTCATAAGTCTGTTTGTCACGTAACGGAACTCTGAAACCAAACCAGTGTCAATCAGCAGCTCATCAATCTCTGGATATTTTCCATTTTAACTGGTGAGTAGGATGACAGACAGGCAGTAAAAGTGAGAGACGTATCAAACAATGTCCCACGTGTCCACCACCAACGCACAACATTCAAGCCGTCCTCCGATGTGATGATCTTAACGAGATGTCCACAAACATTCTGAAGCGCTCCAAGTCAAACATCACATTTGCAACACAAAGTTTTGGTTAAGGCTGCACCGCACGCCGCGTGCTGGGAGGAGGAACACTGAGGGAGGCGGGACGGGGGACCAAGGTCAGGAGGTTGGACTAAAGGAAGTGCAGACGGACAGACGTCCTCCTCCCGGCCAGCACCTCATCTGGGTGATGGCTATTTCAGGAAAAATAATGCAGCGTGAGGACACACGTCGCCCCCGGCTCTGCCCCCTTCTCCCCCTTCTCCCCCTTCCCCCCCTCCCCTCTTCTCTCTCTCTTCCCCACGTCAACAATAAACATCCTGCCTGACTTTTTTTCAACCTTGATCATTTCCCCTCCCGTCTTTGGCGGGAACACTCGGTCACGGTTAGTTAAGAGCGGGCAGCGGTCAGGCCGCGGTCGAACCGCTGGACTCGAGGTCGATTTAAACTGCAGCCGGAGAGCACGTGTGGCGAGATGGATGGAGGTAATCACAGAGGGGGCGGAGGCACTGGAGGAGAAAAAAAGGCCTCTGAAGGAGCAGGTGTGAGAGGAAGCAATGCGAGATGTGGATGGACTCTGGCAACATGTGCCAGAGTGTCCATGTCTGCTCAAACAAACACAAACACAGCAACTTCCATCTCAGGACAACCAGAGCAGTCATGCCGTCGGTGGGTTGGACTGTGCACCAAAACAATTTCACCACAATACGATATCACCACACGATATCACCATACGATATCACCACAGTGCGTTATCACCATACGATATCACCATACGATATCACCACAGTGCGTTATCACCATACGATATCACTATGACACAATATCACCACAGTGCGTTATCACCATACGATATCACCATGACACAATATCACCACAGTGCGTTATCACCATACGATATCACCATGACACAATATCACCATACGATATCACCATGACACAATATCACCATACGATATCACCATGACACAATATCACCATACGATATCACCATGGTACGTTATCACCATACGATATCACCACGATTTGATATCACCATACGATATAACCATATGATATCACCATATGATATCACCATACGATATCACCATACGATATAACCATATGATATCACCATATGATATCACCATACGATATCACCATACGATATCACCATACGATATCACCACAGTGCGTTATCACCATACGATATCACCATGACACAATATCACCACAGTGCGTTATCACCATACGATATCACCATGACACAATATCACCATACGATATCACCATGACACAATATCACCACAGTGCGTTATCACCATACGATATCACCATGACACAATATCACCATACGATATCACCATGACACAATATCACCATACGATATCACCATGGTACGTTATCACCATACGATATCACCACGATTTGATATCACCATACGATATAACCATATGATATCACCATATGATATCACCATACGATATCACCATACGATATAACCATATGATATCACCATATGATATCACCATACGATATCACCATACGATATAACCATACGATATCACCATATGATATAACCATACGATATCACCACGATATGATATCACCAGCACAGAATATCACAGGTACAGCTGAAGCTGAATAAAGGGGACGTTTCTTCTCACCTGCATCTTCTGCGCCCGCCGCTTGTCGGCCCTCTGGTTCTGGTGGTAGATGCGGCTGAAGTTGGACACGATGACGGGGACGGGCAGCGCGATGACCAGCACGCCGCTCAGAGAGCAGATGGAGCCGAAGATCTTCCCCGCGATCGTCTTAGGGACCATGTCTCCGTACCTGTGAGGGGGGGAGGAGACACTGAGCCTAACGTCTCATCTTGCACTCAGTGACATTGTTCTCACACACAATTACACACACACACACACACACACACAGAGCTTAAAGCTAAACCTCTAAAACAGAATGCGGTGTAGTTTGTATACGTAATCACAAATAAAGCAGAAAGTAAAGAGAGAGAGAGGGTGAGACTATTAACCTTTCACAGAAGAGGAGACGTCATTAAGCACAATGCAATCTGAAATATTTGCAAGTCAAAAGCTTGAAACCTCGAAGACGGAAAACACTATTATAATAACTGTTTTAACCCCCCGGCCCCCTCTGTGTAAGTATGAAGTGTTCAGGAATTAACGGTGGAAATAAAAGCAGGAGAACTTCAAAAGCTGAAAGACCACGACTTGAGCTGAAAAAGCCACCTTTATTCATAATAGACCTCATTCTTCATTCACGGGTGAACAGTTCAGGTCGTTTGTTCCTGTTCTTCTCTAAACAGAAGTTCTGCTAAATTTATTGGAACTGACTTCAAATAAACCTGAAACGAAAACCCTTTCAGCATCTGGCTTTATGTATAATTATGTAAAATGTTCCAATAAATCTAATGAATACATCCAAACATAAATACAATAAATCTAAATGAAGCGTCTCACACGTTCAAGCTAAATGTGTGTGTAAAAAAAAAACTTTGTTCTTTTAGTAAATTCTGGTCCTTTTAGAGTCAAACAGACCATGAACATGAGTTTGCGGTTTATTTACGTTACAGATTTTCAATACCAACGGCTGTAAATAAATTCCATTGGGACGTCTGATCCGGGAGCTTTATAAGTACAAGTAGCACCACAGTTAAGAGGAAACATCTGCATTTTCTGGCTGAACTGAGACCTTTTTTTCTCTAGAAGACGTTCCTCTGTGACGGAGCTCCATAAACGAACACTATTCTGCTCAGAAAGTCGAGCTGGTGGCGCTGCTTTAATGATCCTCTCTGTCACGGCGGGTTGGATGAAGATAGTGAGCTCAGATGCTCACAGGTTCCAGCAGGACGGAGCTCAATGTGAAGCCGCTTAGGTGGCGGACGGTTTCCACACGCGCAAAGTGTCGACTTACCCACAACTTTAACAGCCTTTCTACCCAAATTAGGCAAGAAGAGCCCACCGGCGGGCCGGAGGCTCCCTAACCCCCTCCCTCCCTCGCCCCGTCCCTCGCCCCCTCCCTAACCCCGTCCCTCCCTCCCTCCCTCCCTCGCTCCCTCCCTAACCCCCTCCCTGCCTCCGCAGCATGTTTCCATGACGAGGGAGGAAGAATCGTCATTCATCTTTAGTGGGACCCTATCGGACGAGTTCCCCCCCCCCCCCTCCAGCTCCACAGTCAATCCGCCGCTGCCCCTCAGGTGGAGCCGGCCGGCGTCTGGTGATAGCATCACCTCGCCGCTCCACCCAGATAAGACCGGCTCGCACACATTAGAGAGAAGAAGCGCTGCATGTGACACCTGTGTGTGTGTGTGTGTGTGTGTGTGTGTGTGTGTGTGTGTGAGATAAGGACTTCACTGAAGGTGGATGTCTGAGAAACAGATAAAGGGAGCAGAATAATTTACACGTGTACACGACATCTACTACATTTACTATTATGCACCGATAGTTCTGATAGCAGAGCTCTTTTGTTTCTCTCCTCTTTTGCATGAAATTTGAATTACAGCGTTTAAATTCTAGAGCATGTCGCTTCAACTCCGGGTTAATTGATATTTCCATGCAAAAGTTTAGGTGCAAGTGACGGCTTGTGATGAAGTGGAAGAAATCAAGTGCTCCTTGTTAAGGTTCCAGAGAGAGAATCTTTGAAATGGAGACAACAAGAACCAAATCTCCCAACTGGAGGTTTCTGCTCGGATGAAACAAACATCCATGTTTACCCGTAGAATCCTTGTTATGGGGTTATTGTGTTTTTCTCTTCAGCGAGAATCACTCCACCTTGTGCTAACGGCCGCTAATGAAGCTAACTGTAATACAACCGGATCTCTCGCTCTGTATTTATACTGTATACGTATACGTATGTGCATAACTATATATATATATATATACATGAATCCTGAGACACAGACAAACGCAGCAGGTCCATCCACACGGGTCAGTGGACAGGTGAGGGTTGTCACAAGTTGTTGAAGGTCTCTGTGGGTCATATTAATAAGGCTTCGGGGGCACTGGTGGGGGGTCACAGAGGGGACTAAGTGCTGTCCTCACAGAAGCCTGAGGACACGTGGATCTGTGAGGATGGCCGGTCACGTGATGTTGGGTCAAGAAGGTGAATTGTACACAACCATGACAGCGTAAACGTTTGAGCTCAGCTATAATAAAAATGCAGAGAAGCATGATGCGTTCTAACCTTCGCCCACGGGTCTGCACGCCCAGCGAGAACGTGAAATACAGGTTGTGTTGATTGTGTCGGGATGCTTCTCTTGAATTCTCAAGATAACTTCACAAGTACAAATGAGAACTAATCATTATCTAGGGATGTATTTGTTTAGTTGTTTCCGTCAGGTGCTAAGAAGCTTCAGCACCACAGACAGCGACTGGAGATTCTATTCATAGCAAATGAGTCGGCGTTGCACGTCCTGTTCCCTCGTCTCTAATTAAGAATCTTTCTTGGGTTAATTTTTGGTTTGGTTTAAGGTCTGTGTTTAATACCAGCTGAAGACACGTTAGAGTTTAGTTGTCTGATATAAAACAGGTCAGTGAACGTCTGGCGAATCTTAAAAAGAGTCTAAATCAGATGGAAGTGGAGCTCCTTTGTGGTCTAATGTGAAGTCATGTGACCGTGCAATCAACAACAGAGTATCTTTGTAGGCTTCAAGTCTTTGGTTAAGAACGGGAGATGGTCACAAATGGTCCATACTTTAATTTGTAGTCCATAGTTGAAGCCTTACAGGCATTAAAAACTGTCTTAATACCTGAAGATGTGTTTGGGTGTGAGAAGGTGGTATATCACAAAATCACATACAACATTTTCTACCGTCATACTTTGCACCAGGACAATGCGTGAACCTTGATTTAGAGAAATATAATATGATTTTGCCGAAAGGTTATAAATTGTAACAATCCGAAATATGAGATTCATGAGTTCGGCTTGACAAAAATATCAAGGGCCAAGACATTTATTGAGAAAATACACTTATTTCTCCTGTGATATTCACAACTCCACCTCCACAAATGATGATGCCTCGTAACAAAATAAAAAACACACCGGCGAGTAGATGCGATCCGTCATTTTCATTGGGCGACCCGTCACGGGCCGCTGGAGCTCCTTTGGGTTCAGCCGAGTGAAAGACGGTTTCTCCGGGTCTTTAACCCTCCAGCGTCCATCCATCTGCACGCTCATCTGACATTTCATGGCCAGTCACTCCGATGGAAGCAGATCCGATGATACCGGGGAGAACCATCCGTAATCGACCCCCCCCCACACAAATGTCACCGCGGGAAAGAAGGAAGGAAGGAGGTGTAGAGGACGAGCAGGTACCCCTGTAGGCCGAGGAGGAGATAGCGATAGCGTGGATGCTAATACGCAGAAGGTTCTGATCCGATCTATTCTCTGGAACTATTATAAGACGTATTTACAGCAAAGTGTTCGTAAAGGTCTGAGAGGGACGTGTGAGCCTGAGGGACACATGTAAACCCCTCTGAGCCTGACGGGCGGCATGGACTCTGCTATCGATCCTGATGGGTCACCCATCGGCATGCTAACGTACGTTAGCTACGTACGGGAACTACGGATGGAGTCGGGAGATGCGTTGCAGCTAAAACGGCGTTTGACCCTTAAGAATTGTATCCGTCTGGGGGGTCGTATTACAAGTTGTGTCGTAGATAGTATCTTTGAATTTGTGCTGCTACAAAGACGTTAATGAATCGCTGAATGACTTTACAACAGCTCCGTCACTTTTGTTGGATAAAGATGTCTTCGTTTCATAAAAGCGAAGTTATCTGTGTTCCGAGCCGACTTCCACTATCGCTTCATCCCTTCTGATTTATCCTTGATGTCCGAACGTCACATATTTCATTAGGGGAGTTCTCTGTTCTAATTAGACACCAGGCATAACTTAACTCACGGAACTGATTGCTTTACGAGTGTCCTTATTACAAGAGTTCAGAAGGTCCAACGATAGTCATTCTGTCCGAGGACCAACTCATTCGAGTCCTTCATCATCAGCTCTAATTGAAAAGGAGTCGGCATTAAAATGTTCATCGCAGGAGAGACGTCAATCAAAGAAGAGTAAGGCGCTTCCACCCCGCCGACCGTTATCACGACAGATCGTAGTTCAGAGCGAAGTTTGGTTGAGGCAACGTGGACATTTGAGGGCTCACAGAACCGTCTCCTGCAGGAATCATTGCGCACCAATCAAAGGGCGCCGGAACTCGTCAGCAGGAGCCCTGAATGCGGCGAGGCGGAGAGGTGGGGGCTCTGCCGACTACGCCCGTCCAAACCTCATCGATGGACTCACAGGGAAATGTCCCCGAGAGCCTCTGGGGCAAGACCAAGTCGAGACCAGGACCAGGAGAGTCACGAGACACGAGGCCGACTCGTCCCTTTAGCGCCATGTGAAAACGGAGGTATTTATCAAAGTAAACGCGTCCTTTTGCTACGTGACGTCGCAGCGTTAGAAAAGTGCTGCGGCTGCATTTCAGCCCGCAGTGCTATTTCTGACCCGCGTACTGCTGAGGAGGCACCTCGGAGCTGCTCTACCTGTTGTGAATGAACGCCGTGTTTCTCACAGAGAACACAATGGAAAACAACGGAGACGATTCGATGCGTTTCTCACTGTTTGTTGTTGTCCGTGTGAATTAAAACATTCACTCAAACACACTTTCTCCTCATTGAGCATCGAGAAACTCGGATGTGAGTGATGGAGGCGACGGAGAGAAAGAACACAGGGAGGCCGACACACACACACACACACACACACACACGCACACGCACACACACGCACACACACATACATGCACGGAGGAAAGGTCACACCT